GTGTGTGTGTGTGTGTGTGTGTGTGTGTGTGTGTGTGTGTGTGTGTGTGTGTGTACAGTAGTCGTGTTCTGGGTCAGTCATTTACTAAAGAGAGAGCAGCTGCTGTGGCGCTTCGTGTTCCCTTAAGACTCAGACTCCTGTCTGCAACATGTGCTTTGTGGACTGGTAAGGACCAGGAACTTAAAATGCGAGTGTGCAGACACCATTAATGTAGGTCAGCTTATTTCAGTCAGGCTTTATTGGCAAGTTTTGCACAATATATCAATACTAGAAATGTATCGCAATTTAAAAACTCAACAATACCCCATGTGATTATACCAATAATTTAAGAATGACTGTTTAAATAAGAGCCATATGTTTGTGTTACATCAGTGTGCGACAGCAGGGCAATGTGTGTGTGCAACACTCTGCAGGTATAGTGGGCATGTTTTTCTCTCATGCACGCTGATAATACAAGTGCTCTTGTTGACAAAGCAGACTTATAGAGCGAGATCTGGCACTAAAGTACTGTTGCTGAGGGTTATGTGTTGCGCCTATACTTATGAAGCTAACACAATAATAACAAGTAGGCTCCGTCGTCCAAACCCAGATGGGAAACTATTTGTTGCTCCCACCTTGTCAACTCTAGTTGCTGCCTATTACAGCTAGAGTTTTTTTCCGTACTACCTTTCACAATAAAAGCCCTAGACATATACACTCCATCGCTGCTTATCAACGGGACCTTAAATTAACTCGGGCATTTCGCTCAACAAAATTGCTTACATTACATGCTCTTGCATTGACATTGTCAAAATCTCTCTTTTTTTTTTTTTTTTTTTTTTTTTAAATGAATGACAAAAGAGTTTTAAGTTCTGTGTTCTGTCATTTATTACTCATGATTTCCGTATCGAGATACTTTAGGCCGGTATGGATTTGGTATTGTAACAGGGCTGAGCTATATCTCTGAAAATCATTATGATAATAGAAATAATATTCTAAACTCAATGTTGATTTATTACCTTTTTCCAGAGCTTTCAGCTGCATCCTGCAGCCTTCTCGTCAATGAAATGTGATCAGGTATCAAAGCTAGTAAGAGAATCTTGAGTTTAGAATATTATATCACAAACTATGTATTCTTAAGGTCAATAATGAGCCTCTAGTAATAATATACCATTATGTAGCAAAATCCGACAAGGTAATCGCACTGTAAATTATGTTCCACTGTTATGCATTACATGAGACCAACAATCAACAACTGCCATAACTGAAATATGGTTAGTTTTTACTCGCAGCTTGTTCAGAATTAGTCTTTTGGACAACAGAAATTTGAAAATGATAACATGATATGATCATATAAACACAATACGGTGCCAGTGTGTATAGGTGTATGTGTGTATATGAACGATAATACTGAATTATACTCGTCCTCCCAGTGTACTGAAAGACAGCTGGAAGAAGTTTGTGCTTTCTGTTAAAGAGGATTACTTTCTGTCCTTAGTGTGATCAGAGGGTGCGGGCCACACAGAGTAACAAAGCGGAGTACGTTAACGGTCATTAATAATGCGTGACAGGTCAGACCATGGGTCATTGTAGTCGGATGAAAAGCTGTCTGTGTCACTGTGTGTGTGCTGCATTATTCTGCCTTTTCCCCTGTGTGTCGTCTTTTGTTATAGGACCCGTCATTACGCTATATAACTGTCCTCTGGTGTTGCCTCTCTTTTATGATGAGACACCGTCTTTCTCATCCAAGACAGCTCCATAAATCACGACTTTTGTACTGTCGCTCACACCTGAAACACACACACGATACTGCAGACACTCCTTTTGCAGCAGGAGAGATAGGTTTTCCATTGTTTTCTGTACTCGTAATCGCATGTGACTGCGGCTATTTAAGGTGAAAAAAGTAAACGCAGACTCTCTAGATTACACGCCCTCACACAGACTTCCCTGCTCAGCCTGTCATGTAGTGTGGCTGTCGCTGCCTGCTAGGAACAAGGCAGGAGACACTGTCCGAGACCTCTGCTTTGTTGTCTTGAAACCGATCCCTTCAGACGCACTCTATGGCCACTCAGAGCCTCTCAGCACAAACAATGGCGCTTTAGCTGGACCGGAGGGAAAGAGAGAGTAATTCTAGTAAAGTACTATGTCTACCTGTCTTTCCTGAAGTACCTACCTGCAAGATGAGATAAAGGGGGAGGGAGGGAGGGGGGGGTCAAGAATGGAAGAAAAAGTCAAGGGTTGTAGGGGAGGAAATACTCCAGAAGTGTAGTAGCTACTTAGCACAGGAAAAAGCAAACACAAAGGGGTAGAATTGGCAAGAGAAGGAACAAGAGAGGAAAAAGACCTCGAGGAGATGAGTTGTCAACCTAAGAGAGCCACTAAGTCTGGTGGGAAGAGAGCAGCAGAAGTGCAGATGGCTAGAGTTGAAGGTTTAGGCAGTGGTCATTAGACTCCATCCCCCCCCCCCCCCCCATAAGACTCAAACACAGAGCTATGTTCTTTATCTAGGAGGGTGTAATGCAGGAAATCTGGTCTGATGAAGACGTGTGATGTCAATAAATGTATTCTTGTTTTGCTCACAGCAAATGTGTTGCATTACGTCGTGTGTTGAAGTCCTTCGTGGAGTGCGTGCCTGCGTGTTGTTCTTGCCTGTTGTTGCTGCTCTGTTAAGGGGGTCACGGGCTGTGCTGATGCCAGGTCTTTTTGTGAGTGTGTCATTGTAATGCATCTCTGCATGAGTATGAATATCTGGGCACACAGAGAGAACAGGATGCCGGCTTGGCTTCTATTCGAGTATAAGCAAACAACCTTCGGCAGGGGACAGGCCTAATTATTGCAGATTCTCTCTCTTACGCAGACACGCATACGCTCACACATACTGTAACACAGTGGGATTGGGAGGATAGAAATGCGGAGACACGAAAACACACACACGCACACACACACCTTCCCTGTGGAGTGCGTTAGCTCCGTGACATGTTTTCCAACTCAGCAGCGTCTTCCTCGGGCCTCTAGTAAAACATAGATGAAAGACAGCCAGGCAGACCTGTCATCACACACACACAACCACGTCATTTCTGCAGCTCTTATGTTTGTCTGTGCATGATGTGACGCTCACACAAGTCTTTTCTATGTGTTCATTTGCCTCATATTAGAGTGTACAGGTTACCAATGATGATATGTTTTAAGTTGTTTTTGTTGTAGATGACCACTTAGGAGTGTTTCTTCTTCCGGTAAAGTGTTGACATCTTGTAACTGTGTTATTACCAGGTGATTTACTCAGACTTGCATAAGTCTTGCTCCGGAAGATAATAAACTGTTTTAGCCGAGCTTTGGTTCACTTACAGCAGCAGCAGCTGCCACATACAAATGTGGCAGCCTAAGATTGATTAGCTGCTCATCACCTTGGGGGAAGAGCTGTTTTCTTAGGTCAGATATACTGTTTATAAATGTAATAAGTTTAGTTCTAGCAACAGTTTATCAAAACAGGTCATGTTTCGAGACGCACGCTTCCCTGTTAATCCTACATTTAGTATGTTCGTCTTTAGGATGCAGTCAACCGCTAAGAGCTTCCTTCTTTTTTTAGCACTTTATTCCTCCCAACACACCAAAACGACCCTTGTTCCCCCTGTAAGTGAAACACAGACATATCTAGCTAATAACAAATCTACCGTCAGATTTATGGAGCCTGTAATGTTAACACACCGGGCCCCCCTGCTATACTCTGTGACAGAACAGTGTGTGAGCGCGTGTTCACTGGCCTGTGCATGTTTTTCTTTGCATCTGAAGAGCCGGCAGCTGGGAGTCATCTCTTCTCGATGTGTCCCTCTGATCCCCCCCCCCCCTCTCTTTCCCTGAGTAAGCCCAGAATACGTTAATAAGTGGACCATGAAACTCTAACAGCCTGCATGGATCTGAGGCTCAAGCTTTAATAACGGCCAGCGAGAGGAGATGAGCAGGGTTCGTCTGCTTTCCAAAAACATTGTGTGTTTGTCCAGCGCTTCGTTGTCATAAATACACTCCCTCCCTCACTCATGAGGAAGAACAGTGAGAACCCTCTGACTCTCGCCTAAACACACTTCACGTGTGTGTGTGTGTGTGTGTGTGTGTGTGTGTGTGTGTGTGTGTGTG